CAGCTCAAGCATCTCACATGATAGAAAACTTAGTATTTCACTTAGGAAAATTGCACTTTCAGACAACTTTATGGCTAGACAACTGCTTTCTTAATTAAGCAAACTCTGTTTTCATTAACTTCCATCTTTCCACCTTATTTTCATCCCCTGAAACCACATTTAAGGGAAGGAGGGATGGAACCAAAGCAAATGATACAACCACAGTCTGTGGATACTTGACTGATCACAAAGAAGGCTAAAGTGTCTGTAACCACCGGGACCTTCAACAAGAATCGACAGCCAAGACGTGGCCAAGGACACACCACGGTCCTGAGAAGCATGTTCTGGAGGGAGCACATTCTGTGCTCTGCAGCACTTCTCATTCCCAGGATCTCTTTCATATTGGGCCACGATATGCACCTTAAAAGCACTCTTTCTGTTGATGATCCTTATTCTTTTAAAACCTCTGGCTTTTCAGGCCCTTAAAAGAAGTAGTCACTGGGCCTTTTCCAAGTTTTTGACATTCTTCTTTCGGACCTGAAAACTGTTTTGCAATGTGGTCTGTACTGGTAAGAAGAAGGATAGGAAGGAAGAAGAGAGCAGAAAGGATGAAGGAGGAGAGAGGAAGGAGAAAGGATGAAACAGGAAGTAGGAGGGAGGAAGCAGGAGGTGTTGTTTCCTGACAGGAAAGTGGTAAATTCTTCATAACTCCTGACTGTTGCCTCCTTTCTTAAAAATTAAATCATCCACATTATTTGTTTGTGGATTTGTTTAAAATATGTCCTCGCAGGGCGTGGTGGTGCACACATCTGTAATCCCAGCACTCGGGAGGCTGAGGCACGAGGATCATTGTGAGCTTGAGGCCAGCCTGAACTGCATAGTGAGACCCTGTCTCAAAAAGACAAAAAAAATGTCCTCAGCTGAACCTCAAACATGTCAGCCTCTCGAGCTTGTGCTTGCAAATTGCTCATCTTTTGACATTATAATGTTTCTCCCTTTCCACTCCTTCTCTTGCTTATGTTTTCTATATATATTCAAAATTACAAAATCTTAGAGTCCTACGGCAATGAATCAGGTGGGGAACGGCACAAAGACAAGGTTTGTCCACAATGAATCCCATTAGACTCCTCAGAGCTTGCTCTTGAATAATTAGAATGAAGAAATGAATCCAGGAACCGTATACTTTCCTTTCTTGACCCTGAACATTCAGTGGTCAAGCAAGACCAGCGCAGGTGTTGGAAATGAGATATTTAACCTATTCCAGCAGAAAATAACTCAACTTACAAGAAAATGTTCTTCTCCACTCTGGGTTGCCGGCTCCCACAGCACTGCTTCCCTCAGAGTTTCCAACCCAGGGAAGCATTCCAGACACTTATGGCAAAAGGCATGAAACTGTCAAAAGTGCTTAATGCCATGTGCAAGACACTGAGCAGACGGTAAAGAAGGAAAGAGACCTAGGCTCCTGCTCTGCCCGCACCTTCTGCCCCGTAGGGACAATGTGATGGGGAAAGTCTCCCAAGCCTAGCAGGGAGCCAGGGGGACTGATGGAGACTGTCCAGTCTGCACCTGGCTCGCACAGATAGTTCTCATGTCTTCCTGTGGAGCATGGCTGCCTGACCATGAGCCCTACTTGGCACTTTCGGTGTTTGTTCATATATGATGAGCAGCTGGTTCCCAAAAGCTGTTGACAGACTCAGAAGATGGAAGCAATTTCATTTTGCTTGCCCTGTTTTCAGCCCTCACATTATTTGTCCAGAGTACTTACTGTATGCTGTGAGCTCTGTAAAAAGAATTAAAATAATTTTTTTTTGAGATAGGATCTTGTTATGTAGTCCAGCCTGGCCTGGAACTCATTATGTAGCCCAGGCTGGCCTCAAACTCACAGGGACCCTCCTGCTTCAGCCTCTGGAGTGCTGGGATTGCAGGCATGTGCCACCACACCCGGGGGAACTTTCAACAGTAAATTTCTGCTACATAACAACAGCTGGCTGGATGGAGTCCAGCTCTGGTGCTGTGAACATCTCCTCTCATGCCAAGCATTTTTATCCAGTGGGACACAATGCAAAACTGACTTCACATCCCAGATACCTTTCCTGCCCAAGCAAATGTGGATTCAGTACTCTTATCTCTCATGCGATGAAATGTGCTTCTCCTGGTAATGTGTGTGTATGTTTACACTGTACAAAAGCAAGAAATCAGCGAGAAATCAAGACAACTTGTAGAGACCAGCTGCCTCCGCTGGTCACGATGTTTATTCACTCATCTTCACTCACTCTGGGTTATTGAGACTCGCTGTGTAAACACAACCCTCATCTCAAATGAAAAACAGCCTCTTCGTCCTCACTGTGGGGCAACAGGGCTGGTAGCTCCTCAGCAGATGCTCAGGAATGCGGATGGCTTTTCAGTCTCTGTCCTGCAGCAATCAACACAGAGTGAAATGAAGAAACTGTAGTATGTTTATAACTAAGAGCTCAGAAAAGGGAAGTAATTGGAATATACGTTTTGTATTTCATTAGGCAATGCGGATATCAAGGTACTTGTCCTTTTGCTAAATATAAAATATTTCAAGAGTAACTTCTCCTTTCTTCTTCCAGCCAGGGACTAACTAGGCCCTACCCTGCTTAGGTTCTGAGATCAGACGAGATCGGGTGCATTCAGGGTGGTATGGCTGTAGACTCTCCTTTCTTCTTAAATGAAAATGGTTTTTCTCTGAATAGACAAGAAAGGAAATTCACTGGCTTCAGGTGATGTGAGGTGAGGACATGACGGGACGTATCTTATTTAAAAGGCTAAGAATATGAGTAACAAAAGCAAGTCAAGAGCCCAGGTTGTGGTTGGCACCACTGTTATCTAGTGAAGGACACCAGGAAATTGGGTGGATTGAAAAAAATGCATTCTTATATTTCTTTCAGGATTGCTGGATGTTCTGCGTAGTTTCTGCCTCTTTCTACTTTTTAAGAGAATCTCCTTTTTGTTCTTACAGGTGGGGGTCAATACATAAGGAATTTCCTGTGAGCAAGTGCAGAGATTCTTCAAGTTACAGTTATCATGGTAATTGCTAGCACCATGTTAAGGATATTCCTTCCCAGATACTTTGTATTAAAACAGACTCAATAATTACCCTTTAAAATTGTGACCTTGCATCGCTGTCCCTCCTGAAATATGAGGTCAACGGAGTCAAAGAGCTCCAACTGAAGTCTTTAGTGACTATATTGGAAATAAAACATAACAAAAAGAAAAACAACAGTCACTATAAACTAACTCATCCTCGTAGAAGAAAACTTTAGCGTCTTGCATTAGTTTTATAATGTAGCACAAGGTAAATTTCAGGGGTAAAAATCCAGTTTTACCCACAGGGCTGGTTAAGACCTGACCTATGTATGAGGCTGAAGGAGGAGTCTGACTCACTCAGCCATTTCCCTACTCTAATGTAGCAATCCTTGATTAGTCATTGGCTGTGTACATACACACACATCCCTATTATTTCTCTGCTCCTTGTGCATTTGTGGCATGAGAATGATATTTGGAAGTTACACCATTTGAGATAGTAATTAATTCAGTATCTGAAAACGTTTCTCATGAATGTTTTTCTGTGAAACTTCTTTAATGAGGGAAATCAATTGCTGTTTGTAAAAATGTTGAATTCATTTAGATACATTTCCCACTGGCAAAGTTTACCTCTGACACTAGAAAACCTACTAAAGTTCCAAGCGTTACAAGGATGGCAACATTACGTATTCAATCCTATTCAATTGGTATTATATTTACATAGAGAAGCTAATTATACAGGGGTTGAGTTTTTATCTTTCCTATCTCAGAGATTCCTTGGAAACAAATTTAGTCATATCTAATCTCAGCACATGGAATCATTCAAAATACATGGGAATCATTCAAAATTCCCAAGTAATGAGGCATATTGAGGTAGGGGTGGCACTAGCTTGCCACTTTGAATAGATGAGCGATGTTAGGGACCTTGTTATATGATTTATTTTCAGTCGCCTGCTTTGGAGCATTCCTGGGAAAATGGAGTCAGTCTTTCAGGACAGCATGCAATTTCCCTCCATGTACCTCGTCTCACTGAGCTCACATGAGCAGAAACCTCACTCGTCATTTTTGTCAAGAGCATGTATTGAGAGCCCTTCCCAGTCCTCATCTCGGCCCAGGAAGTTTATATGTGTAATCCCATGGAAAGTTATTGGAATTCGAGCAAGTTAACTCCAATCTAGCACTTCCAGGGCAACCCATGGTGAGAATAAAGACACTAAGGCATATTTGTAGTTATGGAGCATCAAGGGGTCCTAAGTCCCGCCATCATGACGGCCATTGGGAACAAAGGCCTCAAACCAAGGCTGAACCTGGGTTTTACTAATTCCTCAAGAAGGGCGTGGCTTGAGGATGAGTGACTGTGAAAATGGCAGGAAGTAGGTGAGTGGCGTGACCTGGGCTAGGCGGGAGGCCTGAAATCACCTCTGCAATATGCAGAGAGAAGGATCTGCAGAAAGAGTAATCTGCCAGACACAATTGAGATCGTATTTAATGTTTTGAGGTCTGTGCTTCGGCTCTGACGTGTAATCTTTCAAGCCCCAGGAGGTCACAGCCTCTATCTCAGTGCTCATCCCAGCTAGCAGTGTGCAGCACTGACTCTTCATCAGGCCTCCTCCAGGCTCACACAAGGGAACAACGCATGGGGATCCAGGGAAACACACCTGCCATCTTCCAAGACTACCATCAGCACCTCGGCTGGACTGATATGCACGGCTTAAAGCCAACTGAAGGGAGAAGGAAAAGTCCTAGCCAGCTTTGTACATATCTATACATGGAAATAGGGCCAGGCTCAGCCAAAATGGAGACAATTTCTCCTCTTTCAGGGAGAGTCACCCAGGTGGTCCTCCGGAAGCATGATTTAGTATTGCAACCTCAGAGCTGGGGGAAGTATTAAATTTGGGAAAACTCAATCAGATCAAGGTGTAGATTTGCTGAACAGTAAACACTTAAAAAGAATACATACTTGCCTCTGGTAGTGCAGAAGATTAGTTGAAGGAGGTCAGCTGTAACTAAGGAGCTGGGATGAAAGGGTCAGTTTGTAAGGATCGCTCAGTGATCTACTGTCTTTATTATGAAGACGGCTTAGCATGTGGATATGTGATCCTAATAAAATCATAGTAGGTGTGTTCGTTTCCCTGTCCGGTGTTGTAGTAATCGTCAGTAGAAGACATCCGTGTTTGCTTGCAGGGTAACTCTTCCCCTGAAAGGTGATTTCTTATACCTAGGAGATTATAGTTAGAAAAAATATGAATAGATAAATCTTTGGAAATTCCATGTTTTATTTTGAGCATAGAGAAAATTTGTTACTTTATTGATAATCTGCTCTTGATATTTAAAGTATATGTACTACTTAAGAGAATTTATCATATACGATTATTTCCATTATCTTATGTTTAAAACATAAAATATGTGATCAAGTAATTGATTTTAGACTTGAAACATTGAAATGTATAAAAGAACTTGGTTAAGTTTTAAACACTGATTTCAATTATTCTATAAGATTTGTAAGTTGACCTTAAAGCTCATGGAAAATTGGGATTTTGCTTTGTAATTTTAATAATGTGAATATTAGTTTAAACAAATCTTGTAGTTACAAATCAGTGTCTGATCACAAAGGCTCCCATTTAACATTGGGACCCTGCTAGTGAAACTTTTGTAGATGCAGCAATGGAGCCCTGTCTGTCCGGAAACCTCCCCTACTTCTCCTGGCCCTGGCCTGCCACCACCACACACCTGCACCAGGCGACTTTCCCACACACCTGCACCAGGAAACTCCTGTCTTCCCTCTGGTCACCACTCATCTGCTACACGTCTCTGAGCTGCTTGTTGTATATTATGACACTTCCATTTTTATGCCTATCACTCATGCTATTCAGGAATTTCTTAAGGATTTATCACTCTTGCTGTTCCCATTAGCTACCAGAGTTCATATTTGTTCTCAGCATTGTGGAAGCCTTGGTAAAGTGTTACAGGAGATTCTCTGAGTGTCTTTGATGTTGCCCTATACCTCAAGAAGTTTTGCATTTTGCCTTGGGTGCTAAGTTTGGCCCATGTGAATGCTACAAGCCTATGCTATTCCCTGGGGATTTTGATTATAGAGTTCAGGTTAGATCTCAGAAGTCAGCATGTCTAAGAAATCTCCAGAGGATTCTAATGTGCAACCAGGTTTGGCAACTGTCAGATTAGAAAGAGATGATGAGAACTGGGAAAACCAGTGAGAAAGCACTGAAGGTAAATTCTTGCTCACAGTACAGGTAGTGGCTATAGCACCGAGATAGTGATGGTCTACACTGCAGACAAATCCTGTGCATGTCCAACTTCACTTAGGGGGCATTTCTCATCACTGCAGGACTCTAGAGGTGCCGGGGTTCAAGGAAATCCTCAGTTTCTGGGAGTGTAGTGGGAGTGATTGCAGGCCTTTTCCCTTTCTGGTCCAGGGTCTGGAAAATGGCTACAGGCAGCCTGGGTTGGAGCCTTGAAAAGAGCAAACCCTATGAAGAGCTTTGCATAGAAACAGAAGGATCTTTGTTCTAACCTCAGATCTGCGAGATTGTGCTGGGTCCCCTCAGACTCTAAGGGATCCAAATTAGGGGGTGGACAGGTGGAGATTTTCACTGTCCTCAAGAAGATCAGAGACCTCAACAAGGAATGGAAGCTTTTTGCTTCCACTTGTGACTTGAAGGAGAGAATATATCCCTCTTTATCATGTATAAGGATTCTCTTCTGTCTACAAACCATACCCCCAAGCAAATAAATACAAGTCTCTTTTAATACTGAAAGAGGGAGAAGAGCAGACAGATGAAGCATAACATAAACTTACAGCAATAAAAAACAAAATGCTAGGTGATATTCAAATTAAATATTAAATTAAAATCCTTAATTTCCAAAGCTGACACCATGATTTCCCAACTATATAATTAATTCATGAATTAAAAATGAGCTGATCATAGTTGAGAATGAACTTTGAGAACTAGAAGTTCAAGGGGACAAAATATCTCAAAATAGATGATAATTTTAAAGAGATTGATATAATAAGGACAAAACCATTTTGAGAAGTTAAAAAAAATCCACCATTGAGGGTGAAACACTACATCTTGATGGGGGGAGTATTTGCTAACTTGTTTTCCAAAAATAGTGTGAAATGTATGTCTAATTCTTAAAAGGAACTATTATTAAAGTGGAAAATGTATGCTGGAAAGTGCAAATTAATAAAATGAAAAAAATGAAATGATTAGAGACTTGTTCAAATGATAAAATCAAGGAAAATTAAAAGACAGAATAACTTGAAATATTTAGCAGTCATAAAAAAATGTATGATTGAGTACATTAGCCACTACAGCAAATGTGAATGGACCAAATGTACTCATTCACTATCTTTGTTTTGTTACCTTATAACACAAAATTTAGTTGTAAACTGTATAATAATAACACTTCATGCAAATACGGGAAGCTGGAAAATAAGGTTATAACGAAAATTATTAAGAAACACAAAGTAGGATTTAAAGAAGGTAAGAAAATAAATATAAAAAGTAGAAAGTGGGAAAGGTAATATGTTAATATAATGTCAACTAATATCATTATATATTAAAATAATAGCTTTTCCTTGAAAATTAATCATTAGTGAGAACAAGAGGAATGCTGAATAATGATAAATAGAAATCATAACATCAGAAATATAGTTGCTAAACATAGGGCAATGACTATGCAAAGTACTGTGTAGGATAAGAACAGATCTAGGAGACAAATTAGCCCTGGGAAAACTGAATGACAGTCAATGTGTTAGCTGGCTTTCAGTTACTGCGACATGATGCCTGAGACAGTCAACTTAAAAGGAGCATAGTTTATTTTGATCATGGTCTCAGAGATTTCAGCCCACGGTTAACTGGTTTCATTGCTTCTTGGCCTGCAGTGAGATAGAACATCCTGGTGTGAGCACATAGTTGGTCAAAATTCACACTTCTGGACAGATGGGAAGCAGAGAAGAGACTGGCATCCCACAATCCTCTTCAAGGGCAGCCCCCAGTGACCTCACTTCCTCCCACTGGCCCCGCCCCCTAAGGCTTCAGTCACCTCCCAACGGAGGCCATGCTGGTGGCTGAGTCCCTAACACATGGACCTCCAGGGGACATTCATGGTCCCATCCACAACATCAGTAAACAAAGCAATACATAAGCACAGCTGGCTTTCCAGAAGAGAGGACATACAATTTTGGTATGACTTTCACAGAAAAACAAGCTTGGTGTTTAGTCATAAAGAAAAAACAGAGATTTGAAGCCATTTTTAGTCAGTTAGGAGGTCACTACAACATTTTACTACATCAATACTAAGAAACACATTTTTATAAAATCTTTAGACCAGAGACAGTGTAAAAAGAGAAAGCATAAATTACCTAGAAAATAGAAGACAACGTTGTTGGGAATGTGATGGGTCACAGCTGAGCTCCAAGGGACGTGTCACGGCCCAATCTGCTTCATAATTAAGGAGTGACCCAGGAAAATAAAGGAATAAGAAAAAATAAAATAGGCAATCACCCTGAAGAATTAGAAAATGAAAAGAAAAATCAATTTGTGAAACTAAAAAGAGAATAAATAAGGATCAAAGTCAAATCTAATGGTAAAAATACAGTGACAAAAATTTTCAGAAGGGATAATTTAAGCAAAATATGACTCTATGAAGGATTGGTAAAGCAAAACTTAGCATGACCCTGAATCATGGAAAGGAGAAATAAAAAAAGCAAGAAGGGACACACTTGGACAGACCATTCATTATATCTAGCTAGTCTAAAAAAAAATTGAAGAGAGACATTAAAGTGGAGTATATTTCCTGGCTGAAGAGGCAGCAAACACTGACCAAGGGAGGTTATTTAAAATAGACGGGGAGGGGGCTGGGGATTTAGCTCAGCGGCAAAAGCGCCTACCTGACAAGCGCAAGGTCGTGAGTTCGGTTCCCGGTACCGGAGAAAAACCAAAAAACAAAAAAAAAAATAAAATAGACGGGGAGGAATTTTGCTACCAATGACCTTATTGCTTAGACTTTTCTACTTTATAATACCTTATGATGATTCATTTGTTAATGTTATACTTTAATGCATCTGTCAGCCTGAAATCTGAGGAGTCCACATGTAGTAAGTAATGATACCCAGTGGGATGGTAATCAGTGACCTACACATTCAAAGCTCTAGATACAGCCTGGGAAATCTGTGAAGCAAGGTTGTTAATGTCACTCACGATCCATGCTTTAGGAATTTTCTGTTAATACACATTTGCAAATATTGTTATTTTGGGGGAGAAAATTAATATAGGGAGAGATGTGTGAAGCAGAAAGCTATGTATATGGGACTGATACATGGTATTTCTCTGATTTGAAATTATAGGAACAACATATCTTGGAGCTGGATAAACATTTGCAAATGGGTATATGTAGGAAAATGTGTAAATTCAAAGAAGCAGTTGTTGCTCCTTAATATTTATGAACTTTATTCGACACAGATACTTCCTTTTTTTTCTTTTCTTTTTTTTTTTTTTTTTGGTAGTTGGAATTGAGCTCACGACCTTGTGCTTGCCAGGCAGGTGCTGTGCCACTGAGCTACATCCCTGGCCCCCACAGATACTTCTTTACCTAAAATGAAACTTGACCTTTGAAGATACTCAAATGAAAAAGAAGAATGTCTTTGTACAGCTGAAAGATGAAGTTTATGGAAAGAACTGATTAAATTTAATTTCATGCCTTGATATCTTCCTTATACTTCATACAGTTGTCCTCTAAAAGAAAACAAACTAAAAAATACTAAAAGAGCTTGCTGTACACAGGACTGATAACTATATACAATTTTATCTGTTAATTTAAATAAATAAATTTGAAGAATTTTTAGAAAGAAAGAGTAGTGAGCTAGTTCCTTGACGGTATTTGACATCAGTTATCTTATTTGATCTTCTTAAAAACCATAAAGAGTATAAGGTGTAATTTTCTTTATTATGTACATGCTAGAACTAAGATTTAAGTATACCAAGTTGTTAAAGATTAGTGGCCAATGAAAAGAGACGAAAGACTCCTAGACCTACACTCTCATTCTGCCACTCTCCCTTCCTAAAGGTGAAGGGGGGTGGGTTTCATGAGCACTTGGTGTGGAAGTGTTAGCCTTCTTAGGGTGATAGCCATGATAAGAGCGCTTACTGGGACAGATGGCTGGGGAGGGGGAAGGAATTTTATATAGCATACCTGGGAGAAATCCAAGCCGAACAAAGTGAAAGTTGAATGCAAGGACATGTTTCCTTAGTCCTCTGGGCTGTGACCTCCTTTTCCTCAGAATGACATGGAGCTGTTCATCTGAGTCATTCCAAAGTGTCCAGACAAAACACCCACAGTCTCAGCCTGGGGAATAATCTTGCCTCAGGAAAAGGCTGGAACCACAAGCCCATTTCCCCTGATTGTTAGTTTGACATCACAGCAAATACACGATGTTTGTTTTTAAAACACACATGTGCGCGTGCGCACACACACACACATGCGCGTGCACACATGCATGCACACACCTGCTTTGCTGTCTTTCTACGAATAGGAAGTCATTGTATAGCAGGGTGGGTCAGGCTTCGAGTCAGAAATTCAAGTCAATAAACTATGCTGCTGACTTCTCCGTCCTTTGGAGCACTGACTGCCCTTTTCTGCTTTTGTGGCGAAAGGGTGATAGACACAGCTTTCTCAAGTTGTTTTTTTTAAGGAAATCCAACTTCAGTAAAGCAAAATTTTTATATTATTTCCATTTCCTTCCAGAATAATTGTGGCTACAATACAAACACACACACACACAAACACACACACACACACACTCACGCGCGTGCGCTCTTAATTCACCGGGCATTTAAGGATTATCATTAAATTCTTGCTGTCAAATTCCTGACTCTCCTGATTTAAAAATATTTTTAGTTTTGAAATGAACTTTATGTAACACAAAAGTAGTCATTCCAAAGTGCATTGTTTAGTAGTATCACTGATATACACAGTGATATTTATTACAGAATCCACTGATATTCTGTGTATTCGCAGAGGTGTGCAGCTACCAGCTCTTTCTACTGTCAGAATTTTGAACCCCCGTGGAACACCTGTTCCCACTCAGCACTCCTGTTCCTCTCCCTCCTGACTCCTTGGCTTCTGTCTGTGTTGATTTGCCTATCCTGGGTAAATCTCACGGGGTGGCTAATTTTGTGTATCAACAGTAAAGGGGCACAGGGTGTCAGGTATTTGGTCTGACATTATCTTGGTGTTTCCGTGAAGATGTGGTGGTGGGGGCGGAGAATTTAAATGGGAGAGTAAAGTTGATTGCCTTTCTCATGTTGGTGGGCCTCATTCAGTTGCTTGAAGGCCTGCGTAGAAAAAAAAAAAATGGCTGCCTCTTTCTGAGAAGAGAGAATTCTCCCCTCCTGTAGCCTTTGAACAGGGACAGCCTTTGAACATATTTCCTTTGTTTGACCTTGAAAATTTTTTACTTAAAAATTAATTTTTTGGTATTAGTATTGTCATCAAGTCATCTTTGACTACTGTTTGAATGGCATACTTTTTCTTATTCAATTGATTTGTGTTTGTGGGTCTGCAGGGACTCTCTCTGTGAGGGGCACATTTATCAGATCATGCTTGTTACCCATAACCATTTACTTTCGAATGGGTTTAGAACCTTTGTAGTGGGTTGTGTCTGGATGCATTCCCCCCACAGCCTCAGGCAGTCACAGGTGCGGATTTTCAGAGCTGGCTAGATCTAGGACAGTGGTAGCAAATTTATAGCACCTGTGCTGAGCAGGCATGCACCTGTGGAGCCCTCTCTCCAGAGCTTGAACCAGGTTGCCCCAGCAGCTGAGCATCAGATATTCAGGTTTGCTTGCAGTATGCTGTTGCTGTGGACCATATAGTAAATGCAAATCTGGCAAACAATCAGGACTTTGAATCCGTGTGGATGAATGACTCTTGCACTCTGGAACCTACAAGGAATGACCAAATAAGGTAACTTTAAAGACTATTGTGAGAGTCGATTTTGTTTTCATTTGTTACTTAATAGAGGAAAAGTCCATTGTTTAGAAGCATTATATTTTATGAAAAAGAGAGGAAAGTTTAAAAAATTATTGTGGGAAATGATTTATAGTAATGAGTAATATGTTTGGGATAAATTTACAGCAAGAACATTATGCCATTACAGAAAACTTTCTTAGAAAAGCCCAAATAAAGTCTCTTGGAAGCTTGCCGGGGTAGAAGAGATGACTTACTTAGCCCAAGACTCCTTTGTTCTAAAGAAACACCACTATATGATCCTGAGCCAGGATCTGCCATTACAGAAAACATTTTCTTAGAAAAGCCCAAATAAAGTATCTTGGAAGCTTGCGGGGGTAGAAGAGATGACTTACTTAGCCCAAGACTCCTTTGTTCTAAAGAAACACCACTATATGATCCTGAGCCAGGATTCAAATAAGATTATTGACAAGAATGGGGAATAACACAATGAACTGATCAATGTCTGTATTAAAACACATCCACCTTCTGCTAGTAATAATTATACATTATATATATGGCTCATTTCTGCTATTAGCTTTTCCTAAGCTTTCAGTAAAAGAAATATTAGCATATATATTTTTAATACGGGTTATATATAATTCTTCATGAGGTATCTGTTATTTTCATTCTCTGGTTATTAATAGATCTTAGAGAAATCAATTCCTGATCTAGATCTAATACAAAATGAATAAGAAAAAGGCTTATAAAAGAGGAAAATTTAGGAAGAATGTATCTGAACTCTTTTAGAAGAAGAACTTAAGATGCTAACTGAACATGATCCAATTTCATATTTGTTGAACAGCAATGGATTTTTAGATCATTTTGATTTTAATCATATGCTATATATTTTAATTTATAAAAATGATAAATCTTTTGCACAAAATTTCTATAAATCTAAAGTCACACCTCAAAAGAGAAAACAAAAATATGAATTTTGCTAGCACATGATGGGTCACTTTTTGAAGTATCAGAAATGACATAGAAACTGAGTGTGGTGGCACACACCTGTAATCATAGGATTCTAGCAGGCTGAGGCAGGAGGATCCCGAGTTTGAGTTCAGCCTTGGAAACTTAGCAACTTAATGAGACTCTGTCTCAAAATAAAATATAAAAACAAAGGGCTGGAGTACACAGAGGCCCTAGATGTAATACCATGTACACAAATAAAGCAAACAAATAAATTAGTAAATAACTATATAGTCTTGTGTGAGAACAGCCTGATAGTTTTATTAAATTTCCATATTAACCTTGACAGCATTTCAGAGGGAGATATGGAAGAAATTTTGATAAATGCCACATCACCTAAAAAGTGGTTTATATTCATTAACTTTTTTGGGAAGCAAATGTTTCATTTAAGGATAAATGTCCCTTAGGCAGTCATGCATCCGGTAAGTATATTGAAACATTTTATGGTGCTAGATAAAAATTATCTTGACTGAAGGTAATTTGAAGCATTTTTTTACTCCTCAAAACAATTATATTACAAAAGTTGTAGTTTTACTTTATTTTATTTATTTAAAGTGCAAAAGACAATGAAAATGGTACAGAACTTCAAAACAAGATGATAGGAAATTAATAATGGTTATTCTACTGCATATTGTTATTTTCAAAGTAGTTGTGAGATTATCAGATATAGGCATGCAAAACTGATCAAACAGTATAAGCACTAACTGTTTCTTTCAATAAATAAAATTAGTAGTACAGTTGTCTTAGCCATCTTGTGTGTGTGTGTGTATATATATATATATTTTTTCCCCTTCCTTCTTTTCTCCTTTCACTCATGCCAGTTCTTTTCTTTTGAAAAGTTTCTTTCCCTTTCACAATATTTATTGTACCTTTTTTTCTCTTATTTACAATTTCAGTTTCTTACACTAGGGAGACAATACAGTGTTTATACATGCAAGTCTGATTTATTTTACTTATGAGTATGTCTCTAGTCATATCCATTTACCTTAAAAGCCTTGAGTTTATCTTTCTTTCTAGTTGAGTAGTACTCCATTGTATAAAAATACCATGTCTTTTTTATCCATTCATTGATTGATGGGCATTTGGGTTGTTTCAAAGATTTAGCTATTACCAATTGCGCTGCTTTAAACATAGGTGCACATATATTACTGTAGTATGATGTTTTCAATTCTTCTGGAAAAATATCCAGAAGGGAAACAGCTGGGTTGAATGGGACCTTTAGACCTAGTTTGCTGAGGAATCTCCAAACTGATTTCCATAGTGGTTTCACCAGTCTGCATTCCCACCAGCAGTGGAGCAGAGTTCCTTTTTCCCCACAGCCCCTCCAGCATTTATTATTGGTTAATTTCTTGATGATAGCTCTTCTTTCTGGGATGAGATGAAATCTCAGTGTTTTAATTTGCAGTTCTTGAATGACTAATAATGTTGAACATTCTTCCATATAATTGTTTGCCATTTGTATTTCTTTACCTGGGAAGTTTGTATTCATCTCAGTTGAACATTTTTGGATTGGGTCTCTGAATTCTTGGGGCCTGATATTTTAAAATTATTTATATGTTCTAGATAGAAGTCCTTTGAGTGAGTTGACTAAATTTTTTTCCCATTTTATGGGCTTTCTTTTCACTCTTTTGGTGATTTTTTTTTTTTTTTTTTGTACGAGGAACTGAACTTGCAACCTCATGCTTGCCAGGCAAGTGCTGTGGTGCTGAGCTATATCCCTGGCACAAGAACTTTTTAATAAAATGAGATCTTAGTTGTTGATTCTTTGAAGTATTTCCTGTGCAGTTTGGTTTTTGTTCATGGACTCTCTGCCTACTCCTATGTCTTCAAAATTTCTACCTATTTTCTCTTTCAGTAGATTTAGTGTTTCTGTTTTACTTTTGAGATCTTTGATTCATTTTGACTTTAGTTTAGTGCATGGTGATAGACATAGGTCTAGATTTAGTCTTTGGCATATGGAAAGCCAGTTTTTCCAACATCATTTGCTAAAGAGGTTATCTTTCTTCCATTGAACATGTTTGGCCCCCTTTTCAAAGACAAGGTTGCTGGTATATTTGTAGTTGTGCCTGCCTCTTTTATTCTGTTTAATTGATCCTCACATCTGTTTTTTTTCCAGTACCATGCTGCTTTTATCACAGTAGCTTTGTAGTATAATTTAAAGTTAGGGATTGTGATACCTCAGGCCTTCCCTTTGTTTCCCAGGATTGCTTTTGCTATTCTAGGTCTCTTCTGGTTCTAGACCAATTTTAGAATGTTTTCTTTAGATCTGTGGGGTAGACTAATGATATTTTAATTGGGATTTCATTGAATCTGTACAACAGTTTTGGGAGTAT